ACCTTTGCTTTTTCTCGCATTGGGATATGGGGTTTCTCATTGAAAGGAATAAAGAATTATTTATATCTAAGAAATTATCAGGAACTGTTAATAAAGACCCTATAGCGAGGCGGGTAAGCTCACACCTCGGGTTGAAAGAGCCACAGCGGGTGTTATTACTTAAACCATACATGCATGTCTGCCTTCACCTCAAACTGCTGCCCAGCTCATGCAAGCCACACTTCCACACCTTAATCCAGATCCAGAACATATTTACTCACTAAACTTGGCACCTGTACTCCACCCACAAAAAAGCACCTTCTACTCAAACTGAGAAAGTAAGAACTTGGTCTTTCACACTTTATGAGCGGTTGAGAAAAATACAACATGAACGTTTTCTTTACTGAGTTGGAGAAGTTCACAAACTTTGCACATCTAAAAATGTCAGATGGCTATTTGGTTCTTCTCCATCGCACCTCAGCTTCCTTCAGCAAACATTTGACTGTGATTAGGAGTGCAGAGAGTCAAGCCAAAGGTCAACGCTGTATTCAGACCAGGTTGATTGGTTGTTGTAATTTGAGGAGTTTTCCTCTGTCTCAGGCCAGTTCTCTCGGGAGGATTCACGTTGGCTCCTAGTATCAGTAACAACAGCAGTAGCTAGGAGAAATCAGAGGCAAACATGGTGAACACCGTCAGCCTAAGGTGGTTCAGCTGAATCCAAACCCCTCTTCATCTAAGTGTAACCCATCTAAGTGTTAGCCATTCTGTGCTGTCAAGTTGCAAAAAGATGTTTTTCTAAATACACTTTTGTAAATTTATCACTTGGGATATTTATAATTGTACCAATTTGTCGTCAGTGATATAGCTCTAGAACAAGGTTGAACACATCTGTTGACTTCTTAGCTAACAATAAAGCCTTCTTCTATTCTTCTACTGTTCCTCATTTGCCACAACCTCTGTTCGCCTCCATTCTCTATGAAAGCGGGTAATTTGAAACCCATTCTCAGTCTCTGGGGGCTATAGGGGTTACAAAGGGTGTTCAATACATGCCAGAGAAAGTCATTAGACAAGTGAAAGAAGCCCCACTTTGTATACTCCCTCCTCCTTACTCCTTCTTTTCCCTTGTTGTCAGAACTGGCACCATTAGCTGGTCCTAACAACAATTCACATGTAGACTCTCCACAACTTAAACGTTAAGCTTAGATCACAGTCTCTGGAAAGTGTAGCTTTTTCAAGTACTTTTCATTACTCAATTCAATTCAGGTCATTTATATAGCACCATTTCGCAACACATGTATTCACACCGATGACCACAAGATATCATGACGTGATTACCGCCCTCCCACATACAGAGTTGCTGGCATCAAGGAATCCGTACCACAATGTCCAAAACAATATAAGATTGAGGAACAGATTTTTGCCACAATTTGTTAAGATGCTTATTTATTTACATTTGCCCTATGAAGTTTTTATTTTTATTCAATTTCTTTAATGAGGAAACATATCCAGTTTTTGTTCTAATATCAAAATAAACTAATTTCATTTAATTAAAAATGTCAGGAAAAAAATCAACATGTTTTTTGGGATCATCTTTTTAACTTATGCTCTCCAACAGGTGATGGATGACATGGGCAACGTCAAGTTTGCATTGGACAGCAGCCAGGATGCAACCAGCAACAGTTGGCTAAAATACGTCCGCTCAGCTTTATCATTTGAGGAGCAGAACCTCGTTGCCTGTCACCTCACAGGAGACCAGGTGAGTGGCATTTCAGCATTGTTCTCCTGGATCTGGGTTCCACTAATGGAAAGAAAAAGAAGAAAAAGCTTTGCGATGTCACTAGAAGGCAGCAAGAAGGGGGAGCCGCAGTTAAAGCTTTCAGTCTATTAATTGTGGGGTTGATGTGTGAGTGAGCACACTCATGTGTGCTGTAATGACTTAGGATTGGTTTTATTGTTGGTCCAAAGCTGGGCCAGTTGCCAAAGCTGTGAAGAAATGACCCAACTGAAGAGGCTAAGGAATATTCAGACACTCCTGATTTCCACGATAACTATTATTCAAGGCGTGCTCCTTCTTTACAAGGAGTTGCTGTTTAAAGAAACTTGGCCAAGACACGGTGGATGCTTTTGGAAAGATGCCCAGCCATTGCCTATAAAACTCCAACTGCTTAACTAGGTACTAACAATAACCCCATGCAATGTGTGGATCACAACTTACTGCTGCAATGGATTAGCATTTCTATGCTGACACACTGATGGTATTACTCTGCTTTATAGTGCGTCTGCTTGAATTCACTGTAAGTAGTGTATTAGATTGAAAGGAGGCATCTTACTTTAAAGCTTGTAAGACTAGGACAAAATAAAAACAGAGCGGAAAATAATAAGTGACAACCGCATGACAGTAGCCAAATGAATCCATATGACTTTGCTTTGTGTTCCCCGCATTCCTGTCACTCCACTCTTATTTGTTTTCTAATCCCTGCCTACATGGCTCACTCCCCTTCCCGTCTGTGCCTCTTGCCGCCTGTTATTTGCTGACTTCCCTCTGTCTTCATGTCTTGATCTGCCACTTGTCACTCTGTCACACCAAGGGGACAGGCTAAAGCGTTTATTAAGGCCTTAGACATTAGGGTTCGACCTATGAAGAAAAAGAGGGGCCTAGCACGGACTGAGCAAAATAGGGGGATGCAATCTCGGGGCCTCCCAAGATTGACAAGCACCAATTGGCAAGCAACGCCAACCTGCCTAATCCTTTTGAGATTTTTCACATCAGTGTCCCCTGTTATTGCCACATAATGTAAAAAAAAACAAAATAAAAAAAAAGAATCCGGGCACCAGAGAAAATTGTGGAGAATTATCAGAGCAAGAAAATGCCCACGTGCATGACTGCTTTTTTATGTGTTTTACACTTGTTTGTTTTTATCGACAAGGCTTTCCTTTTTGTTTGCCCGACCAGTTGCTTGGTATAGTGACCTGCTGGTATGACCCTATAATTTATTTACAAACAGAGCACAGACACACATACACATACTCACATAGACGAAGTCACTTAGTGGTAAAATGTATAATTTAGCAGACCATTTCATGATTTTTATTTCCATTTTTTTCTTGTATCGGCATGCACAATGCATGAGGATTTATGGAAATATGTGCACACAAGGCAATTTCCCTTTGAAAAAGAAAGCTGCAAATGTATTTGTTTGTTTATCATTAATGATGTAAGATAAAAACACCCTTGTGCACCAACATACATAATTTAGATATGTATGGTTGTGTATTTTGTGCAGCATGAAGTGATGAAAGTCTCTTAAATTTTCCAGAAAAGTTAAAATTTGTGTGTGTGTTTGAAGTTTGTGAGCAAACATGAGGGAATGGCGGCCTAGTGGTTAGGGCATAAACCTTGGAATCCTGAGGTTCTGAGTTCATGCCCCACTTTTACAGACTGCAACTCTGGGTCTATAAGCAAGACCCTTCACCGATTGCTTCCCAGTTGCCCCACAATGGCAGCCCACTGCTCCCCAAGGGGATTGCTTAAATGCAGAAATAAATTTCTCCAATGTGAGATCAATAAAGTTAAAATATTATTTTTTTTTTGTCGGAAGCCTTTTACTCAATTTTTAACACATTTATGTCAAGCAAATTTTCTCACTTAAGTCAGCTTACAATTGTGTTTTCATGAAATATTCAAACACTTTAAATTACATCAAAACCAATGAAATCATCAGTTTCATGTGGGTTTGTATGTTTATTCTTTATGAATGAGTTAATGCCCATTCAGATTGCCAAATAGTTGCACAAAACATGTAAGTGAGCCCATGCAGGGGCTGCATAAGGCCCGGTTGTATCTCCTGTGAGAGTGCAAAGAGTGCTGTTAGTGTGTTGGGTTTAAAGTAGATGGGGCTTTTAAGAGAAGATGAACCTTGTCCACCTTCTTGTCAACCCTTCATCTTTTGTGTTGTGAAGTGGAAGCCCTTTCTAACGCTGTTTGATCTGCCCTTCTACCCCTGGACGGATCCATCAATTCACTCAGACTATTGCAAGGGTGTGTGTGTGTGTGTGTGTGTGTGTGTGTGTGTGTGTGTGTGTGTGTGTGTGTGTGTGTGAGGCCACAGTAGGAGATTATTGCAGGCCCCAAAGGCTGGCATTGATCGATGAGGCATCTGTCTCCTGAACATCGGACAGAGAAGGGAAGAAGTCAAAACAGGATCGAGGCCTAAATGTCTTAAACTCAAAAATCCTGTGGACACACATCTCTAAAATAATCAAACCTCTTTCAATTTACAACTTAAAATATTTTAATTATATGTTTTATGTTTTAATATTTCATTGATCCTTAATGTTTTCATTTCAACACATAATTTGCAAGTAAGGCCTCATAAAATGTAGGTGTATAAGACAATTATTTTACCTTGTTTTTTGTAAAAAAAAAAAATTTTATAATTGACTGAATATATGTTGATAAAACAATTGGAAGTGAATTTAGATTTAAATAAATGTCAATCAAATTAACGTTTTCGGCTTATATTTGAGTTCTTTTGAAAAATAAAAAAATAGGAAAATCGCAAAGGATTATTTACCTACTTGTAACTTTCTCCAGTAGGATAAATGCTTTTGTGGAGGAAATAATTGTGTATTTAAATAACAGAGAATGAATTAGCCTACTAGTAAATTGAAATTATAGTTTATAAATTGATATTAACTAGAAAAATCGGTTGAGGAGTTTTAAGGTAATATCTCTCAAAGAGCAGGTGATCTGAGGATTGGGAAAAAAAAAAAATGGATATTGGAGCCTTTTCGGAAGGCCTTTTCCCTGACTGGGTTATATGACGGAGCGCAAGTCTGGCCCGGCTTCTTTATCCATTATTTACATCAATAATCGATTTATCTGGCGGTCCAAGCGGCCATAGAGTTGAGAGATGCAGGGAGGGGTCTGCGCCGCTGATCCCTGGATCCTTTTGGCTGGAGATAAGATGAGGAGGAGTGGCCGACGGGTAACCAGGAGAGCACCAAGGGGCAACAGGGAATCACTAATGAGAGAGAGAGAGGAGGGAGTCTTAGAGAGAGAGAGAGAGAGAGAGAGAGAGTAAGGGAGAAAGAGAGAGACTCATCATCATCATCAAAGACGCGCTCAAGTGACTAGATTAGAGAATAGCCCAGCAGAGGAGCGTCGGGGTTTCATCCAGCCAGAGGGAGCCATCAGCGCGCGTCCTTAGCACTGCCGGCCGACCCGCGACCTCCTCTCCCCGGCCCCGGCCGCAGCGGCGTCCCGCTCTGTCTCTCCTTTCCTCTCTCTGTCTGTTGCTCTCTCTCTCTCTCTTCCTCTTCGGTAAACTTACTATGGGTTGTGTCGCCAACTCCTCCGGGACTGAAGTGTTACTGCAGTTGGAGGCTCTTCGCAGCGCCGCGCAACTTTCTCAACTGTTTCGCCTCACGGAGAAAAGAAAGGTCAGGTCGAAAACCGCGTCTGGAAGCTCCCGCAGAGATTGTGTGTGTGTAAATATAGAAATGTTGTAAAAGCAGGAAGAAAAAAATAATAATCATAATAATATTAATAAGCATAATATATAACAATACTAATAATATAATGTTCTTTTCAATTGTCTGCTTCCTTAACGAACCTATATGTGGATAGTTAGTTTCTCCAGCCTCTGTGTAGGCTACCTATATATGCTTTGTGTTTGTGTGTCAGACCAGTGTGTATGAAGGCTGTTTTCTGCTGTCCTGCTGCGCGGACATTTTTCACTTGGTGCAGAGCGCCCCCATGTGGTAGAAAGCAGCTTTTTTCGACATGTTTGATGGACGCGCTGTGGCTTGTAATGCATAAAATTTTTTTTAATTCTATTTTTTTCTTTATCATATTTATTACGTATAATAGTTTTCGTTCTTTTTCTCGTTTTTTTTTTATATTCTCTAAACCAAGGTGAGAGTTTTACCTGAAAGGTCTAAGACATAAGGCCGCGGATCAGAATGGCCTTTGTCTTCTTCATTTTTTTTTTTATTATTATTCCTTTAGAGTGTTTGAAATAATTCTAAGTAAAGTATTTTAATCAGTTAATTTATCAACAATTTTATTCAGCAAAGAACCACTTTGAAAGTCTATCAAACATGCTTTAATTTCTGTTTATCCGTTTTTTCTTTTACTTTTGTTTTTTATGCAGCGTAAATAAGCACGTTTTTTAACCTTATATTCACTCCAGAGATGAGAAATTATATTTTATCTGCTCGTTTGCTATTTTTTAATAATAAGGAATACAAACCATAAATGCAAAACTTCGTCGGTGCATTTTGTTTTTTTACATTTAATATCGTTTAAGGAATCATATATTTGCCTAGATACTTTAGGATATCTGATCACTTTATACTGTTGTGAATATGCAAATTGAAAACATGACCCCATTAAGGAGAAGAAGAAAGAAAAAAAAAAACATCCTGACTTTTTTTTATTTATTTATTTCTTCTTGACCTGAGCTTAAAGTCTTCCTACTTTTATTTATTTTTTCTTTTCCCCCTCTCCTTAGATTTATTATAAAGCTGTTCGGGACATTGAAGCAGGGGAGGAGCTTTTGGTGTATATGAAGGACGGGATTTTCCCCGAGGGATCCATGGCACCCAACCTACAAGGTAAGATTAATGCGCGTCATTAGCGCATATTTTAAACAAACTCCAACTCGCATCCTGCGCTGCTTTCGCAAATGCTTAACGGACAAAAGTAGAAAATTTTCCATTGAAAAAAACATTATTTCACGCTTAAGAATTTAGATAAATTTTAAAAATATATATTAATTTAAATAATAAATAAGCTCCTAAATAAATCCTTTACATCTAATAACTATTCTATACGAGGATTATATTGACTATAAATAAATGATGAAGGGGTCTGCAATTTAATGAAACGTCCAGAACATGCAGAGGTCTGGTCAGATCTAATCTTTGATTATAGCGCACAACAGAAAAAGCTGCAGCTCAAGCCGTTAATTGGCCCATTTCTGTAAGGGAAGCCTGTGTGAAATTGGAACCTGTCTGTTCGGTAGCGCCGCACACATCCAAACCACATTGTGGAATATTTTTGAAACAAAAACAAAGAAGGAAAATGAAAGCATCATGCATTCAAGACTGCTTTAGGTCTCCTTTTTTCTTTAAATCTCGTACATGTAACAATTATTATAATAAAAAAAAAACTGGAAATAAATACAAAAAGTATATAAAAATAAAACTGTTGTAGCTGTACTTTGGAATTTGTCTTTACTATCAGTTTATTAAAGTAAAACTAAAAACAATACAGCATCATTATTATAAAATAGTTTCATTGTAAAATTGACCAACATGAATCTGCAGGCCCATCACTAAATAAAACAGTAAAAACTGCAGTAAGTGATCATTAGTGATTAAGTTATCCATGTTATATTTCAAAATACAACAATTATGAGGATGCATTGTAAATCTATAGCATGATTTAGATGGATTATTTACAACAGAGCTGTTTGATTGCACTGCAAAGTGCTATTTTTACAGTGACATGCTGTGGCCTAAATTACATCATGTTATAACTGAATTCACTAATTCTACAAGAAGAAGCCTCACAATTATTTTATAAAATCATTTTTTTTTTATATTTCATTTTCCTTAATAAAAACAGATATTAAAGTTTTTGCATTTTATAAACTCAAGTCGCTCAGCATTGTCAATTTTTCTGAGCAAAAAAAATCCTGGTATTTGTTTTTTATAATTTAGCTTGATGTTGCTTTAGATCTTATCTTTCCTTTGAACTGTCCCTATGTGGTGTGCATCAAACTAAATATGTCAGGAACCGTATCTCATAATTTAATTTAGTGATTATTTTTACCTTAGTCTTGGTCTTTCTTCCAAACTCTGAAAAATATCTGTTGTTTCTCTGGGCCTCTTGAAACATCTTGGATTTATCGTAGTAAAGCACTGTTGTCAGGTAACATTGTCTTTGTTGTGCTTCCTGACCCCAGGATTAAAAAGTTTAACTTGTCTATGAACTTACATTGCTGCAGGGAGAACGAGCTGCTCATAAGATGTTCTGCAGCTCATTAAGTTTCCATGTCTGCATAATGTACAGATGGTGCATAGATCTTCATGCCAAAATATGTGAAGGAAACCATGACTGAAAACAAGTTAGATTGCATTAAAAAAAGGGAATTGGTATGTTTTGAGTGAAGGTCATAGATGAAGTTGGTATAGAAGCGATTTGCTCTATTCATTTCAGTGTGTGTTTGCTTATAGATGAGGCTGGCACAGCAAACGTCACCTGCCAAAATATCTGTATGAAAGAAAAGTCTTTTGTGTTTTTTAGCAAGAAAGGGAATAAGGGAGATACTAGAGATATATTACAGATCCTGTTTTATTGGAAAAAACACCCTGGTATATTTTAGAAGGACTCAGTCAAAGTCTTCCAACCAGGGTGCTTTGTGTTTCTTTCTCCACTTATTTGTGCGACTGAAACAGAAAGGCAGTGCTTTGCAGTGCAGCCCTGCTTTCTGTGTCTGGCTTATCGTAGAAGGAATTTGAAGTAGAGGACTTGAGGAGTCCCTTGAGACCTCACCCATGCTCCCAGATTAGCTGCTAAACTGCACATAATTGTGCCTCCCTTCGTCTCCCAGAGATCTATTAGTCTCCACTTTATAACCTCCACCACCCCAATCCCACCCTAGCCCACTTGCACAGAGCAGACTAACTGAAAAAACACATGTACACTGATATGCACGAGCAAACGCCTTTGTTTATGTGTATTCTGACCTACAGAATCACTCTCACAATGGACACTTGTGTTGCTTTTACAAGAGCCATTTTTTTAAACTACATTTAACATAAACAGAAGCTTTTCCACCTATTAAGATCCACAAAAGCCTAACACGAGTGGACGTAGGCCATGTGCTTTTTTAATGTTTTTCCTCTCTGAAACCTACCTAAATGTTGAGACGTTTAATATCCATTCTCTGAGAAATATATGCATACATCAGTGTCAAACCAAGCTAGTCAGTGTAGCGTTTGAGCTCGCGTAATGGTCTATTGACCAGGTGGTCGTTTATGCGTCTCTTGAATGTTAGACACACTGATGTTGCAGTTCTAATCCCCTTTTAATGTTTCCAAGAGGTTCCAGCTGGATAAATGTTCATGTTTAGCAGATAGCAGGTGAGCCATGCACTGTAAGTCATTTTGGATAAACTCATTTAGCAGTTTTTGGATTGATGGATGTGAGTGTGTAGCAGGGGCAGGGAGACTCAGGCAGTTGCTTTTCAGGTCATGGCAAAGAGGCTTTGGCAGGTTGGGGCTGAAATCACCACTGGGCTGGCGTCGCCATGGCCCTATTTACCTCCACTCCTTGCGACTCACTTTGGAAAATGTTCACAGGAGCACAGGCTCGCACACACATTCACACGTCGGCGGGTGTGCACAAAGTCTCTCCTCTGGGCTTTCCCTGATCTGTTGAACTTGGCGTCCAGCTCAGGAATTGGCTATTGAAAAAGCTGTTCCAAGTTTTATGTGTTTGACCTTGCCTGTGAGAAGTATTGTAAAGGTTATCAGCATGAAGAGAAAGACCTGCCCCTATTGTTTCCCCTGTGTGCTATTACCTGCTCCAGTCTGAGGCAAACACTTGCTTTAACGAGTAATTAAGTGTGTTAATGAAGCCCACATTTCACTGCTAATTGATTTCTATTTTATGTGGATGTCAATTGCTGGATTGTTACAATTACCTTTTGGAAAAGGGGGAGTCTGTTTGCTGTAACTAAAGGACAAAGCAGAATAGATTTCTTGAAGAGTAATGACAGCAGTTTTTCAAGGTAGAATTTGATCTCTTTTTGGCATGCCTGTGTGAGTCATTAAGCGCTATGATGCAAACTAGCTCTTAGTTGCCGTGTGATTAGCAGACCAGCCACTGAAAAAATAAAGAAACAAGTAGGCTTAAATCCAGGGACAATTTTGAGATCAGTATCATTGCAAACGACAGTTTGCAATGATACTGATATTTACAGTTAAATAACTTTTTTCTTTGTTAGAACTGTTGTACATCAGTATTTAATGGTGCCTATCAAAGTGCAGTCAGTTTGGTAAAATGTATCATTTAAAGAAAATCCTGCCTATGTGCAAAACCAAATTAACAAAATCATTTTTCAGCATCCCTGTGAGTCCAAGCAAATATCTTATTGATAAATGTATAATAATCTCATTAAAGGAAAGTTTAAAGTTTGGAAGGACTGAGTCAGAACCCAAAATTAAATTCCAGGGAAATCTGTAGACAGAGATGTCCTCAAACTTAAAGAATCATACTCAAAGAAAACCAAATGCTAACATTTCTCTTAAAGGAGCTTTAACACACAGGAAAGGGAGTCTAATTATTGTTTTATCTCTTTCTTACTCTAAATCAGCAACACATATTCAATAATATCAGTGGTTGTAGTGTCTAAAAGGTGTGTTTATCTAAATGTGTGTTTCCAGACGAGCAAATGTATCGCTGTGAAGACTGCGATGAGCTGTTCTCCTCAACGCTTGAGTTACGGCGACATCAGAAGTATTCATGCTCGAATGCAGGTTCCATCTTTGACGCACTGAGAGATGACTTCAAACAGGAGCGTGAAGACAGCGATGAGCCCGTCCATGAGTGCAAAGACTGTGAAAAGATCTTCCCAAATGAGTACAGGTGCACAAAATGCTGATTTCTGTTTTAGAGAGAGAAAAAAAGTCACATCCAATGAAAATAAATTAATTTCATTATTGACAATTCTTGTTTTTTTTTTTTTTATAAAGTCTGGGGCAACACATGATAGTCCACACAGAGGAGAGAGAGTACAAGTGTGATCAATGTCCCAAAGCCTTCAACTGGAAGTCCAACCTCATCCGCCACCAGATGTCTCATGACAGTGGCAAGCGATTTGAGTGTGAAAACTGTGATAAGGTACAGCAAACCCGGCACGTAAGTTGTGCAGAGGACACTCAGGCCTTTTTCGTTAATTTTTTTTAAACTAAGTCTTTATAGCACAATGCACAGTTTTGGTTACTCAGTTAGCAACTAAATATGGACTCATAAACTTGATTTTCAGTTTTAGGGAATAAAAAACATTCATATTGTTATGCTCTCATTTGGCATTTTCAGGTGTTCACAGATCCCAGCAACCTTCAGCGACATATCCGCTCTCAACACGTGGGGGCGCGGGCTCACACGTGTCCTGAATGTGGCAAGACCTTTGCCACCTCATCAGGTCTCAAACAGCATAAGCACATCCACAGCAGTGTCAAACCCTTTATCTGTAAGTACTTAGCACACAATTCATAATGTTTAGTTATTTTAATTCCTTTTTTCTGTGATCCACTTCAACAGATCATTGCCTGATGATCCTTCAACCCAAACTTAAAAGCCCAAGTATATTGTGATTTAAAAAAAAATTTTTTATTTATTTGTTTTTTATATTAAATATAGTGTGATTAAACTGTGCATTTTAATTGGTATTTTTCTCTTAAGCAAATAAATTGTTAATGGGAAACAATGTAAAATATATCAGTTAATCACAGGCTTTGACATTTTTAATCTAATTTTATTTGGCCTATTTTGAGAATATTAAAACTTTATTAAAATTTCATTCAAAATTTCATTCAAAATTATTAGTGACCCCTAACAATTACAAGACATTTTTTTTTTATTCAAATAAATCTTTTTTGTTTAACAAATCAATCAATAAAGACTTTTTATTCTTAAGCACAAAACTTCTTTCCCCATGGAGATTTCTATTTACAACTATTATAAATATATCAAATAATTTCTTTGTCTTTATAAATGGGAAAGCAAATCTGAAACTGTACATTTTCTAAAAATGTAAGATACGAATCACTTTTGAGAGAAATTATTTACCTTTTCTGTAGTAAATATATTTTTAACCATTCTTTTGTTATATTTTACTTGTTGGCATTAGAGAAATGAAACCTTTTTGATGATTTTTGCATCTTTCTGCAAAAGAATGCTCTGGTGGTGGACAGAAGAATTTCTTATCATTATCTTCAGTTTTCACTACATATTCTCTATATAAATGAAGCCATGATTTCTTGTTCCTTAAAATAATACTTTAAACCTGAGTCTACCAAAGGTATATGTAATTATATAATCAAAATGAAGACACTGATGTCATAGCCTAGAAGTTATTACATGTTGGATTATTATTACAACCAGTTTAGGTATTTTTCTTTGTTTGTAATATAATTGTAAATGAGATACACAAAATTATTTGCTTTGATAAAACCAGAAAACTAAATGAAGTTTTAAGATTTGTATCTGCAATGTGTTGTATGCTATTGATTGGATATGCAGAGTTAGAGACAGTGTTAAAATGGGTTTAACCAGGCCCTGATGGGCTACGTCTTTTTGTGTCCTCAGGTGAGGTGTGCCACAAATCCTACACCCAGTTCTCTAACCTCTGTCGTCACAAGCGGATGCATGCTGACTGTCGTACCCAGATCAAGTGTAAGGATTGTGGGCAGTTGTTCAGCACTACCTCCTCCCTCAACAAGCATCGGCGCTTTTGTGAGGGCAAAAATCATTACGGCTCTCCGGCAGGGATTTTCAACCCTGGAATTGCCATGAGCTCTAGCCCCATCATGGCGAAAGCCAAGTCCCACCATCCCCACCTGCCAGGTCTGAACCAGTCAGGTTTAGGCTTTACTGACTACTTCCCCTCAAGACCTCACCCTCATGCTGGCTTGCCCTTCTCAACAGGACCTCATGGCTTCCCATCCCTCCCACATGGGTTTCCAGGTATCTTTCCCCCAACACTTTATCCTCGACCACCTTTATTACCTCCAAGTCCTCTATTAAAGAGCCCTCTAGCAGGCAGCAGTCAGGAGGTTAAGCTCCCTCGGAGCCCCTTAGATGCCCCACCTTTATCCCTTGTCAGCTCGACAAACAGCAATGGCATTAGCAGTCCACTGGAAGACAAGGAAAAGGACAGTAAGCTTGATTTGTCTTCTAGTGGGGAATCTAAACCTAAATCTAAAATGGCAGACATTTCTGATGGGAGTGACCTTGAGGATGTTAATACCACAAGTGGAACCGATTTGGACACCACCACTGGTACTGTTTCAGGCGACGGTTCTGACCTGGAGAGCGAAGGAGAGAGTGAACGTGAGGGAAGCAGCAAAAGGAGGAAGCCATCTGGCACCATGTCAAGTCAAGATGGAAACCAGTTAGAAGACTCAAATAGTGCAGTGATATCAGCTGTGTCTAGTTCAGGGACGCTTTCTGTTGATCGCCCTTTTCATTCTTCTGCTGCATCCCTGCACTCGTTCTTTCCTCCACCTGATGAACAAGCCCTGCCTCCTACCACAACAAATGCCAATGCAGCCACCACTGATTCCATTAAAGCAATTGCTAATATTGCTGAAAAATATTTTGGACCTGCTTTGATGGGACTTCATCAAGAGAAAAAGATGGGTCCATTGCCCTACCATTCCATGTTTCCCTTCCAGTTTCTCCCCAACTTCCATAACTCCCTTTATCCCTTTAGCACTGATCGAGGCACTCTTAATCCTAGCGTTTTCCTGAAGACAGAGCCCAAATCACCTCATGAACAGCTGCACAAGATGGTTTCAAGTTCCCCCGCAGCTTCTGCTCCCACTGCAGAGTCACCCTTTGATCTCACAACAAAACCCAAGGAGGCCAAGTTAACTCCTCCAGCTCCAACAAACCCATCCAACAATAGCAGTACTGGGAACAGCAGTGGTCCTTTAGCGACAACCAACAATGAAGAGCAGCCGCTGGACCTCAGCATTGGCAGCAGAAACCGTAGTGGCCACAATGGCCTACCAGCTGAGCCACAGAGTCGAAAGAATCATATCTATGGGGCTGGAAAGGGGGTTCCCAATAAGGATGAAACCTCAGTGGGATTTCTTCATGCTCATACTCAGTCATTGCACCAATCCTCCATGACGCAGCACCAGCAGTCGCAGGCACAGCCACATCAGCCTCCTCCCCTGCACTATGCCAAGCCCTCAGCATTTTTCATGGATCCTATCTACAGGTATTTTAGCACCAATTAGACCAGGACCTATTTACATATTTTTTTAATTGATCATAAAGTAAAACTTGATGTAGGGTTCAACGTAGTAGACAAACTGACCTTGGTACGTAACCCTCTGCCTTGTTGTTGGTCCAGCAGGGTGGAGAAGAGGAAGCTACTTGACCCAGTCGGAGCTCTAAAAGAGAAGATCCTCAGGCCCTCCCCACCACTCTTCCACCCACAGGTAAACTAACTGTAAATAACTGTACATACCTTTTGAATAACAGAGAATTCCAAAGCTGATATCAGAGCAAGAAAATGGGCTAAACATTTTACAAATGGGCAGCCTACTACCAAAATATATTGACTTTTAGCTTGATTTACAAGAAAACACCAAATTCCTGCCTCCCACGCTACTGTAACCCACATTAATAAGGCCCTCTGCTCTATCACACCATTGTGCTTATGGTTTCTCAAGGGTTCTGTGATTTCTTCCTTTGTGTACGAAACGGCGCCTGTGTACCTTGTCGGTTCTGAATTTTTTTCAGAAGACACAGTGTATTATTCCATGTCCTTTGATAATCAGTAACATTGTTTGACAGTCCCCAGGCCTTCCCTACCTCAACAAATCTTGATTACAAGGAATGATAATATCATAAAGAAATAAAAATACCTATTTGAATTGGAATAGATTGCCTCGCTTGACCACACCACTGTTATTTGTGGCATTGTTTTATGTACTGGGTCCACAATCCAGCTAATAAGTCAATCCCCATCAGAATTTTTTCTCAGTGACTGGCTGGCTGGCTAGATAATAGCACTGTGTCCATCAAGGACATCCTGTGTTTGTATCCAGGAGAATAGGGGGCTCTTATTGGGGAAGCAGTTTAATCTGACCTGGAAATCTGTGTCCTCTATCAACCACGACTTTGCAATACCCTCATCTCTTATACATCTAGATAGATATACACATATTTGTGTATAAAATAAAATACCTCTTCTTGAGCAAATTCCTTTAGAAAGATGTATTTTGCCTTTGTAAATATCATTACAGATGGCTTCATTATTTATTAATGTTTATTACTTACAATTTAAGACTAAAACAAGCCTTTTGCTGGCTCCCATTTAAAGAAATAACATTATAATTTACTATTATACCCCTAATAAAGTGTTTTCACACGCTTCCATGTTAAAACCTCTCATTTGGGAGTGTCTAAGCTGTGATCCACCCAGCGATCCAAACACAATGCCACCTCTAATTCAGTCGCATGACGGAATCCCCCCCCCCACAAACCCCTGCTACCGTTTCTCAGACAGCGAATAAACACATAGAGACGGAGTGTCTGTCCCAGTGTCTCTCCCATCGCATATTCACTAAAAAAAGGAAGGATGTAAGCCTTGTTTTGTCAAATAAACTCCTACGAGGCTGTGCTCTTTTGTTTGCAAGTTTCTAGGGGAAGGGAAACAGCTATCAGTTGGGGGTATCACAAACTATATTGTACTTTGCGAGTTTTCTAGACTGAAACAGCGGCTTTGGCAAAAGAAAAAAAGAGGCAGAAACAAAACACTTCGAGGCAAGCAAAGGAGATATGGCATTCCTGAATATGTTGCAGTTTCAGTGGGCTGCTAGTCTTTAGAAACAACTTTGTCCTCTAATATAGCTTTTTCAGCGCTTATGCTCTATAAGTCCTTCACTTTCTTTTGGTTAATATAAGGTGCTTTAAAGAGAAAAGAATGCACTATCTCTATTGGAGTAGGAGGTTTTTGGAAGTCTTCATGTAGATTAATCCAGATCAGTGTGCCCACTGAAAGGGTTTGTCTGAGAGGCACTAAAACCAAGGTGGACTTATGGTGTTTTAAAACATCTCCTCTCTTAAAAACGATAGATGCAAAGGCAAGAGTATGAATGTACTTTGTTGGTCATTTAGAAGTTGATGATTATGCACATGGGAGAATGTTTTGCGAGATTATTTACATAAACTAATTATCTTCCCAGGTGAAGCAAATTATAAGACTGAAATATTCTGTTCAGAATTACTGATATAAATCAGAAGCAATATATAAAAAAAACAAATGTAGTAACATTTAGAAAAACTGAATAGCTTACTTGTCCTTTAGGTATTCACTATCACACAAATTAGCTTGTTTAGGCTTAGTCAATACATTAGAATATATATATAGGCCAAGATTGGTTTTCTTTTCTGTTATTTCATCTTGACTATCTTGTACAGTCTTGGCTGCCAACAGCGGTATTTTTTGACCACCGGAAGGCACTCTTACAAATTACATATATAAGTTGGCCACAGTTTTACCAGGCATAACCGAGAGTGCATTTACCCCTGTAATCTGTGATTGTTGTGGTGTGACACACAATTGCTGCCATAAACTTTGATTAGCAAGTTCAAAACACACAATAAACAAGAAGCAAAAAAACAAAAATGTCATTTGAATTTAGCTCAAGCATTTTCCAGGTCTTGTAAAACCGGTAAAGTTCTGCTCTCAGTTGGGGTATTGGAAACTATATTGTATTTCGTATGTTTTCTTGACTGAAACAGCAGCTTTATGAGACGTTAGAAAGAGGCAGAAAACAAAATACTGCTCTAAACAAGAACAGAATCAAAGCAGTAAAAGCAGATGGGGTACATTCCTCAGTATATTACAGTTTATGTGAGTTACTGATCTTTATACAGAAAGGTTATCCTCTGATATATCATGCTTTATCAATGCTTATGATTAATAAATCTTTTATTTTCTTTTAGTCAGCATAACAGCTTTAAAGACACAAGCATGCAATACATGTATTGCAGTAGAAGGTTCTTTTAAAGTCTTCATTTAGTTGAATTTTGATCAGTTTGTCAAGCACTAGAAAAAGTAAAGAAAGGCTTACAGTTTGTCTGAGAGGGACTGAAGCCAAGGTGGATGTCTGCTGTTTTAAGACATATCCACTCTAAAAGGTTAAACCATATATGCAAAAGCAAGGTTATGAATCTACCTCAGCCTGCTTTTGCTTTAGGTGGTTGTTTAGAAGTTGATGTTCGTGCACATTGGGGAATGTTTTACAAAAGAATTTACATAAACCAATATCCTAGGTGGAGCAGAAGACGAGTATGAAATATTTAAAGACTTTCTGTTCAAAATGACTTTCTGATATAAAGGTAAAGCAGTATACCCCCTAAAATAATAATACTTTCATTGATTTTCTGACTACCCTACTTTTCCTTTAGGTATTATTAGGTGCTGGGAAACAAAATTACCTTGTTTAGTTTTAGTCAGCACATAAACATCCTATAAATTGGTTTCTTGTTATTTCACCTTGAATATTTTGTACAGTCATGGCTGACAGCAGCATTGTTTTCTGACCACCAGAAGGCGCTCTTACAAATTACAGATATGAGTTTCCCACTGTTTCACCAGACATAACTCAGTGTGTATTCACCCCTGTAATCTGTGATTGTTGTGGTGCTACACAATTCCTGCATAAAATTTGGGTTTCAGCTTAATAATTCTTTTCATGTTTCATTTGAAATTACAGTGATTTAACTCAGCAAAAAATAGAAAATAGAAAAAATAATTATACAAGTGATGCTTGAATCAGTTAAGAGCAGCAAGATAATGTCTCTGGTAAAGTTCTCCTTCAGTTCATCTTTCACACAGAAATTTAATTTGTGACAGACTACCTCATTTTCTGTGTAAATAGTCATTCTTCTCTGAGTGATACATTTTCCCATGGAAATGTATCTATGAATGAAAGGGTCATGAAATAGACAACGCTAAAAACAATATAAGGCTTATAAAATTAGATTTTTAGATAGTTAAAGTCTGCATTAGTTTTAACCCCCCCTGGATTATCCATTAACTATTGCTTCCAGGACCAGATGTTCTGCATCTGTATTAACATCTGTATTGTAAAATTAACTGATAGAACCTCACAAAGAAAAAGTCTTAACTATGCTTTTAACCAGATACACATTGAGTTACCCATTAAACATTACTCATTACAGGTGTGAGTTTCAAAATAAGGCAAAACATCCAATTGATTGGAATTCAAAAATGTATAAATAATAATTAAACGTATAAATCTTTTTTTTAGATGTCAGCCATGGAAAATATGACTGAGAAGTTGGAGAGCTTTGGTGCCCTAAAACTGGACATGCCGCCCAATACTCTGCAACACCCGACCCATCCACTGTTTAACTTCCGCTCACCACCACCCTCTCTCTCAGATGCAATTCTTCGAAAAGGCAAGGAACGCTATGCTTGCAGGTCAGTGTGGTAGGATGTAAAGCTGGTTACCTTTTTGCAATGCATTTAAACTCAGATCTTTTATAATAATAATTACCTATCTTTAATGCCCATCTTGCTTCCAGGTACTGTGGTAAAATTTTCCCCCGCTCAGCAAACCTCACCAGACACTTGCGGACACACACAGGGGAACAGCCCTACAGGTTTCTACATCTTTTTGGTTTTAATCTTCCTTTTTTATTTTCTTTAGATCTTTAATGAAGCATTAAATAAAGTATGAAAATGATATATAAGTATCATTATATAATAATGGTGTATCTCTAACCCATATATATGACTGTTGATCTTTGGCAGGTGTAAATACTGTGACCGCTCATTCAGCATCTCCTCTAACCTCCAACGCCACGTTCGCAATATTCACAACAAGGAGAAACCCTTCAAATGTCACCTGTGCAACCGCTGCTTTGGTCAGCAAACCAACCTCGACCGCCATCTCAAGAAGCACGAGCACGAGAACATTCCTGGTGAGACTGCCACATCTGTTGCTGCTTTTTCTGACCAAACTGAAGTAAAGCAAGGCGACAGTAGTTAGAAAGCCAGGCCATCTTTGCTAAAGATTTGGGACAATAAATGGCTCACCATAGAATATGAAAAAACGTAAAATCATTACCCAGATAAATGCTTAAATGATCCTATACAGATTAGTACAGGGACATTTTATATAAGGAATGGTTTTGGATGATATTAAATCATTTTGAAAGGAGTGATTGTCTGTGTGTGCTAACATCTAAACTGGGTTCCAAATTTTGGTTAGTGTCACAACCTGAAAGAAGTAAACAAAAGTGGCATCTACCAGGGTGACTAAATTCATATGAGGCTGCTTAATCTCTAATGAGGCTAAAATTGGACAAGCTTACACGTTAAATTATCTCCTCAAATTATCTTTTAAAACAAAGAACCCTTATGAAGAATTGTCATTTCTCAACAAAACATCTAATTTTGTAGAGTTGCTGACATACATTACAGGTTTCATTTTAAAATGTTTTTACTTGCTTGTTTCAACTACAGCTGTATGTTGTATTTACCAAAGTCGCCAGTTTTAATGTGCGGAAATCTTCCCCTAACAGTCAGCCAGCAGTCCGGGATGCTTTCCAATCTTGGAACCACCATCTCCTCTCCAAACTCAGAGCCAGACAATCATGCACTTTTAGATGAGAAGGAAGACTCGTACTTCTCTGAAATCCGCAACTTCATTTCCAACAGTGAGATGAACCAGGCCTCCAGCTCCATGGATAAAAGGTTAGACAAAACACACTTATTGCATTCATGTTACTTGTTTTTCAAAGGTTATTGCTTATTTTCTTTGGCTATTTTTCATCAGGTTTTAATTTTTACTTTAGATTTGAAATTGATAGTTTGAGGACTCTTGCCTTATAAAACTTCTAACACTCTCTGAAAGTTTGTATTATAGACGAAATATTGCAGAATTACAAAAAGGAAGGAAAGCATATTTTTAAAGACTTTTGCAGCCTCTTGAAGATTTTCTTTCAGCACAAACCATCTTTGTATTTATTTTGACAAACTTCCCTTGCCCTGCTGAAGAAAGTATCCTCTCAGCATCAGGTTTCTTGCACATTTCATATTTGGAATTGTGTTTTCAGGTTGATGTGGTATGTTCATTTCTTCCCCTCACATTGAGGTCAAAATCGTTTCGGTAGTTGTTTTTTTACTGTTTTTAAGAAGGGTGTCTGATTAAAATGGGACTGGCTACAAACATGCCACACATTTCAAATTCTTATGTAAAAAAACCATGGAAACCATGTAAATCTTTTTGTTCACGTTAAAATATTAGCACCCTTTCTGTTGATCTCCTATTCTCCACTTAATATAATGTAGTTAGGTATGTGATTACCACATGATACAATGTGCAAAAAAGTTTAAGGGACAGATATGTTTGCAAGGCCTCCATAATGGTAGCACTTGATATACAGCGCTCCCTAGTGTCTTAAACAAGCTTAGGATTGAAAACAAAAACAACAGCTGCCTCAGAGACAGATGTTTTCACCTGAACTGTCAAAATGATGAAAAATTAAAAGTTTAAAGCACTCAGATTGATTTTATCCCTGTGTACACCAAACGTACCATAACTTCCTCCTTTGTAGAAATATTTATTTATATGTATGCTGATGAAGGTTCTCAGTCATCCAGGTCATAGTCATTCCGTAAAAATTCAAAAAATATCCACTGGACTTGGACTGGACATTTAAGGATGGCTCCAGGAGAAACCCTGGTATCGTTTGATGTTACTTCACTTTTCACATGCATACCTATAACAGAGGCAGTGGAAACAGTCAGGACACGTCTTGAACAAGATAGTGATTTAAACAACAGGACTAATTTAACTCCGGACCAGATCTGCACACTACTGGGCCTTTGTCTTTCCACAACCTATTTCAAATTCAGAGGTAATTTTTACAGACAGAAACATGGCTGCGCAATGGGATCTCCAGTATCACCAATTGTAGCAAATCTTTACATGGAAGAAATGGAAAAGAGAGCTTTAGACACTTTCAATGGAATACCACCAAGCCACTGGTTTAGATACGTGGATGACACTTTCGTCAAAATCCAGCTAGAGGAAGTGGAAGCTTTCACCAAACACATCAACGCTGTTGACCGCAACATCAAATTCACCAGAGAGGATGCCAAGGACAACAAACTACCCTTTCTGGACTGCCTGGTGAGCATGGAAGGAGATGGAAGCCTAAACATTGAAGTTTATAGGAAACCTACTCACACAGACCAGTATCTTCTTTTTGACTCACACCACCCACTGGAACACAAACTCTCAGTCATCAGAACCTTACAACACCGGGCAGAACATGTCCCCACTAAAACAGATGGGAAGCAAAAAGAACAGAAACACATCAAAGATGCTCTCCGAAACTGTGGATATCCAAACTGGGCTTTTATCAAATCAGCAAGGAAATCCAAAAGACACGCAACAGAAGACAGCGATGGGAAAATTAAACGCAAAAACATCACAATCCCGTATGTTGCTGGAGTGTCTGAAAAGCTCAAGAGGATTTTCTCCAAACACAAGATCCCAGTACATTTCAAGCCAAACCAAACCCTTAAACAGAGGCTAGTGCATCCGAAAGATAAAACCCCCAGACCAAATATGAGCGGAGTGGTATATGCTGTTCAGTGCAGTGAGGAATGCTCTGATCTTTATATTGGAGAAACCAAACAACCTCTCCACAGACGCATGGCCCAACACAGAAGAGCGGCCACCTCTGGACAAGACTCCGCAGTACACCTACACCTTGTGGACAAAGGACATTCTTTTGAGGACCAGAATGTCCATATTCTGGATAAAGAAAATAGGTGGTTTGAGAGGGGCGTGAAGGAAGCCATCTATGTTAAGAGAGAAAAACCAACTTTAAACAGAGGTGGTGGACTGAGATTCCAGCTTCCAAAAACATACAATTCAATCATAGACATGATCCCTTCCAGATATCACCAAACCCCCCACCCCATCACAGAGGAACGAGGGACTTACCCGCTCCAGCCGGTGAACAATACCTCCTTAACGACCAACCCTTAACAATCATAGACAGGTTTCAGGTATTACAGGAGACAATCCCCCCCTTAATGACAATCCCCCCTTTAACGACCGACCCCTAGAATCATAGACAGTTTCAGATATTACAGGCTAACGATGGAACTAACGACCCATTCATCGGTTTCTATTGCATGTTTCCAAGCGATACAAGGCGTTGTCTATATAAGATTCAAACTCACTGCGGATCCAGACATTTGAATTGAGAAAGCTTCCTGGAGAGGTGGCGAAACGTCTTCAAATCTTGAAAACCAAGTCCAGTGGATATTTTTTTAATTTTTACGGAAGTATTTATATGTATATAATATATATTTATATATATTTTCAGAAATAAAATTTAATTTCTCCACAAAACAGAGAAAAATGTTTCATGGGCAGAAAATGTTTCACAGAGAGATTCAAATCTTACATCTCTGTACTGGAATTTATACAGAGAATAAATACACACCAGGTGGTCCAGCTGAATAGGCTGGATTCCCTGATTCTGTGGCTTCCTTTTCTCCTTCATCAGGCTTCTGCACTTCTTTCTCGGTGTTTCTGGTTCTAAAATCTTCTCATCTTTACCACTTATAAAGAATACAATTTTTCCTAATTTTAACACATTTCTATAGCACTTTTAGTGGCCTCCTTTACCCGATCTTTCTTCTTTCATCAAATTTCATAGTCTTTCCTTAACTTGTCATCCCTTAGTTTTTGCAAAGAAACTAGAAGTATCTTGATTTTTAAATGTCCTTTTCATTGTGATCTGTAATGGGTGAGCACCAAGATTTCTAAAAATTAGCCCCCTTATTACACCAGTCTGTTACATAATCAAAACCAGAAATGTTTTCAGATTCACACATAAGTAGTTCTATATAGGAATCTTACCATCACAGTAATTTAATGATTTAATGACATAAGTAAGGGGGCAACAACCCCATCCCCCAGTATAACTTATTCTTATTATTTTTTTTTATTATTATGTAGGAGATCTTCTTTCATGCTGCATAAACACAGTTAAAGTCTTTTCTATCGACCATCAGTCTATCTTCACTGGCAAATATTACTGAGGTCTAATCAGAGATCATCTTCCCTGCAACTAGATCATAAATGTGTAATTTGTGGTAAGCTTCCAAGGATCCAGGCTAAAAGAAAAATATAAGGGATGAAATGTTTTATTTCTCTCAGTCAGCATTTTTTTTTCCGTCTTGAATCTCCACTCAGTTGGTCGGTTTTATGCTTGCTGTGAATTCCTTTCTGGTAGTCTCACTTTCTGTCTTTTCGCTTCTTCCATCATGCTCTACCCCCCCACCCCCTTCTTCTTGTCAACACACATTATGGCAAGCAGACCCAGTGGCAAATTAGCCCCTCTGCCATCTGGGATCAATACAGAGTCTCATCTACAACAGCCTGGCCTGACGTTTTAATATCTGTAATTCAGACTACATGTTATGCTTTCTGTCCTCCTACCAGACAGCCTGCTGTTTATTCTCCCTCTGAGTGACTGAAGTAAAACTGGGAACACAAACACACATTCATGGATGGCCATTTGTAATCATTTTTTTAATCGCCCTCGCAACCATAGTTTCCCTTCCTTCAAAGCTACAGCCAGTCAAAATACGAGTTCCTGGAAGCTCGTGAAAACTTTCATGTTAGAAATGCTGCTGATTCCAAGTTAAAAGTTTGAGAAAACAAAATCAGAGTATAGATTGATATGGATACTTCTCGCAAAGCAGCTTTTAGGAGCTAGGAAGTATCTGTTTCCTCCATGCCGTAATCCTCAGGTCATGGCTTTGGGTTTAGTGTTGGATAAAACCTCAATTGGGGCTGGTTCCCTGTGTATGACTGAGCTACTTTAGCTGGCAGTGAGGACCCAGAGGGGGAATTTAGTTTAGGCATTTATCTGGGAGATCCACTGAAGATTGAGCTCTTCCCCCAATCTGCCGGCGGTGCCTATACCCCCAGCCCACTAACACAAACACCCAACTGACGTGTTTAGACTAAATGACAAAACCCAGGTCCCCCCCTGCATCTGAGCTACGCTTCTTTCTCCGTTCACAAGCGCTGCCGAGCAGCTCTGCAATTTGATTTTGGTGATATTTAATCTAGATTGAAAGAGAAGAACTTTTTTTCTCCCCCTAAAGCCCCCCAAACTGCTTGCATCAATCCACTGTGTGTGACCCAATCCTGTCCCTGTGCACCCCTTCCCAGAGGTAACCCTGTCTGGTTTGATGAATGTCCGCAGTGTGGCAAAAAAAATGCAAGGAGTAAATTTGCCATCCCAAAGGAAATGATATCATGAGCCATGACATTGTGGTTGGGGGGGTGATGGAGGAACGGCTCTTTGTTGAGACGCAGGCTGGAAAATGTACAGATGGCAGGCCGTAATGGTAGTGTGCTGATAGCCCATTCACAGCCGAGCCAATGTCTTCGCTCAGCCACGGCGGCTACGTTCCACCGTTAAGGCTGTGAAGTTACTTGTGGAGGACCTGGTCAGAGGCGGATCCATCTCCTTCTCTGTTTAGGGGTTGCTGGCCAATTAATCATCCATGGGGTTGTTTAGAAACAGCTCCAGGCAGACTGTCGGCACCCATGTTGTTTGTGTGGACACTAAACTTGTACTCTGCATGTTGTCATCAGATTATTTCTTTTGCTGAAAGATGAGTCATGCTTTTGGATGGTTAGAAAATGGTAACAGCAATCAGCTGCACACTGTTTTGTCATATTTTCGTAACTCCTAATATATATACTAAAAAGAAACACTCAAAGCACTTGAAATGAGTCATTTTTCCTCATCTATTTTCTAAGAATGTGAAAAACATTTTCACATCTTGATTAAAAGTGTTTTAATCCGTTTTATACAGTTTGACATGAAAAGGCAAAACTATTTTTTAGCTTTGATAAAGCTAGCTTTTGTCCCTGCAACTCAAGGCTGTGAACATTTTCTCCCATCTTTGCAGGTCAGAACAGCCCGAGGAGGAGCGCCCACCCAGCCACAGTTTGTCCAACTCCAAGCTTGGGCTGCAGGGGCTGGAGGAAGAGGAAGTGGAAGGTGACGATGAAGAGGAGGAGGAAGGCAGCCTGACAGAGAAGTCACACGACGAGGCGCCAGAATCCCCATCTCCCATCACAACAGGAGCCTACGAGGAGGACGAGGAAGAGGATGACACAGAGACGCCTCCATTAACTATGAGCTATGAACACACTCGCAGGTAGGTTTTTCCAAGGCTAACTATTTAGCAAGGCGGAATTACCTCGCAAGTTAGGTTTTATAGTTAATCTTTTAAAGTGTACTTTTAGGGAAAGTAAATAAATACTATATATTATATCAATAATTTTTTGGATCATTAAACCATATATAGAGTGCTTTTAATGTTTACTTTAAACAAAATTTAAAGTAAACAGGGGAAGAAAATGTCTGTTTTGACATGTTTTTAAATATAAATCTTGTATTCATTCTTCCTGAGTCCATAAAACCACTTCTGATTCAAATAGAGCCGAAAGACACTTCACTTAAAGAATTCCTTGCTACTCTTTGCTACGTAGTCAAAATCAGACTGAATTAAAAGCATATGTAAACATTAATTGTTTACACCTACACTGCTTCAGTGTAGCTGCATTAGAAAAGAACCATCCTTAGCACCATTCTGCCACCACTATGTTTCACTGTGACATAGAGTGTTTATAGTGGAAACATTTTCGGAATGTATTGTGGGGTATTGGAATGAAAAAATCCTGATAGCACATGACTCAAAAACTTCAGATTTATTTATGTCCAAAACTTTTTCAAAATTATTTAGTATTTTGTGTCAGTCGAGCGCGCATAATAGAATTAGTCAAAAATGTGTCAAATATGTGAAAAACCTGAAGTAATATAAATACACTTGCTAGGCACTGGAGGATGGATAGGAGGGAAAAAACAGTTTCTCTTTTATTAATTTTAGGTCAGCTTCCTCTCTTTTTCTTAAACCTTTTTATTATCTCATAAGTTGATCTTGTCTGCCTTTCTAACCTTTAATTAACTATACCTTTCTCTTTATCTCCACCTTATCTTTTCCACATTTGCTTCCTCTTCTAAATGTTTCTGTCTCCTTAAATCCCATTAACACTCCATCTGTCTGACCCAAATGTCTGTGTTTTACTCTTTTAACTTATCCATCCCTTCATACTGCTCCATCCTTTCATTCACCCGTGGCTTGGTGTCCAGGTGTATAGAGGAGGATGGCTCTCTCTTGGATCTTGAGAGTCTGCCCAGCTTTCCTAAGGGCCTGGACGGTTTACGTAAAGCAGCCATTGATGAGCAGTCCTTTGATGTTAAAGACATATTTAACACTTCACTAGAGTCTGAAGCATTGAAAGAAACACTGTACAGGCAGGCTAAAACCCAGGTATGTGGCTGACATTTGGATATCAACTAACTTGAGGGAGGGGTAATCTAAACATGTCTTGAGGGAGCAAAAGCATATGATAACAACCTCTTTCCCAAGCTGCAAAAACACTCTAAAGCATTCTCTTATTTTGCCACTTGTTGGCGGCCTTCAGTTGTAAAAGTTGCTATAAGAACACCCACACACACAAGTCTAAATTAGAAGATATGATGTAGATATTATAAAGTATTATTTCCTGTAACTGTGCATTGTAAGAAAAGAATCAAAATATATTGCATACTGATAGATTAAGTGTTTCTTTTCTTTCCCAGTCATAACATTTTCTTCACCACCTTTGGATTCAATTGTTGTGTTCCACACACGGCCTAGGATTGCTCCCAAGTGGTCAAACAGTTATTAGATGAGTGATTGTGAAAATATTTCCAGGTCCTATGGCATGTCGCCCACTCTACACATTCGAACAATGTCAATAAAACAGCATCAGATTAAGTGAACTTATCTTCTGCTTTCTTTTTTGTTACACTCATTTTTTTCAGGTTATTAGAATCTCAAATTTTAAAAAGTTAAACCTCGGCTTTCATATGTTTTGTCTTTTCTTATGTTTTTAACTTTAAACATTGATTTCTGCTTGTCCATCACAGACAAATAATGGAGAGGCATTAAATTAATTTGACAAATTTTTTGGTCTTAATGAAAATCTATGACATCAAAATATTTCTAATTTTTTTTTTTTTTCAATTCCTCTGAAGATAACAGTACAATGTGTTACGTCCCTTACACAAAACACAAAATTTAGTTTTGTAAGTTGAATTAAATCATAATCTACAGAATATGTTTCAACATCAAGCAAGTGTCTTTTGGAAGTGGCTTCTCCAGATCTGTTGCAAGACAGACCGATACAGAAGATCCTTCCTACCTACCTAGTTATCAACTCCTACAGCAACTTGGGGGTGGGGGAACAAACCCTATGAATTACTGCAACATTTAATTTCCATTTGGGATTCATAAAATATTAAAACACATCATATTAAAACACAACATATCAGGAAATAAGTTTGTAAAAATTCATTGTTCAGTCCTGCAAATTAATCTCAAGTATCCTTTTATTTCTTGAGGACTGTTTGTTTAAAGAATAAGGTGTTTTAACATGTGCATATAAGAAACCTTGCAGGTTGTCTTCATTTCAACTTTTTTTCTCTCCTCCAGGCTTATGCAATGATGCTGTCTCTCTCAGAGAACAACCCTTTGCACGCGCCCTCTCAGAACTCTCTGGACGCTTGGCTGAGCATGGGGAGCGGACCGTCTGAGACGAGCAGCTTTCACCCACTCAACCATATCTAGGCATAGAGAGGCCAAGAAAAGGCAGAAGGAATAATGTGTGGGGGGGAGGACATTTAGTCTCACAAACAGACAGAAATAAGAGACTTTGAAGACAACCGGAAGACAAAAGGCAGCGATGGATTTCATTGTCACATTCATTCAAGGCAGGGCGAGTGAGTTTGTGTGGCTCTCCCTGTGTTCACATGTTTATGTGTACATTTGAGTTTGACAGAGGAATCGGGGAGTGTTCCTTCGTGAAGCATCCTGCAAAACTGTCTAAGAGAAAGCACTGCTAAGCTCCTGTTGATGTGAAGGACATGATGAATGCTTTTCTATAGCATTAAAATTCTGCGTCACTCTGATCTTCCCCCAGTGCACAAGACTCCCAGCAGCATCACACTCTGTAAAAGGCTCCCCTAAAGACACTTAGTCTCTGAGCACTATGCCCAACACAAGCATTGCAGCACTGACTCTGCATGTCCACCAGGTGGCACTGTTTCAGGAGAAATGGAATGGACTTATGAGTGATTCTTTATAGGTTTTTCTCCAGTAGACATGGCAACTAATCTTCTGATCATTTGAATTATTATTTAATTTCAGAATCAACAAAAGCACCATTCAAAATAAATGAATATTCAGAATCAGTAGACTGTTGATTTTTCATTAATTACATATAGAGAAACATGTCCAATATTCAAATGTGATGTAATGAGCAACGTGGGCCAATAGCCATTAAAATTAGCTACTAAATTTGCTCTTGCTGAAACCAATCTAAAATTCTTCTTAAAGTGTGTTTTTCTTTTGTTTATTGCATCATCATTTAAATGTATTTACTTTATTTCCTATAGATACCACAGTATTGCTTTTTTTAAGTGCTCAACTGTTAATTTAATTATTTTAGAGAAGGACCAAATTTATATGATGCTGTCACATGATGTAAAAATAATAATAACCTAGATGTTAATAGCAAAAGTGGTATGTGCCAAACAACACTTAGAAAATGTTTGTTTTTTTTCTTTGACAATCATTTCATTTCCAAGAGGCCTCACGGTTGCTTTCATTTTCTCCCTTACAACACTTGTATGTGTAATTTTAGAAGTGTGTGCATGTATTTATTTTTATGTTATTTTGTTGAGACTTGAGAAATGAACATGAAGAAAAGTCTTTTCATCCCTGTTTTTCTTGAAGAAGGAAGGAAGGATCAGATGTCAGAACGCAGGGGGAAGATTCTGAAACTCTGGCTTTGACAAATTAGTGTGCCAAAATGAAAAGACCCCATGAGTTAGTTTTTCTTTTAATTATCTTTATTTATAGTTTCAAATCAAGTGTGGTTAGTTATAGATTCCTGTTTGGCATTGGAACATAGTGCCAGGTTTACCCTGGTTCTCTTTTTATTGTTTCACTTCAACAATTTTGCTGAATATGATGTTTTCTTGCCCTCTCTGTCCAGGGATATAATTGTATAAACATAATTTTGAATGTCAGTTAAAGGGCATTACATTATCATTATTGAGTCTTGATTTCAGATTCCATTGTTGGCTCATGTTACGTAAATTTTAGCATCACTTGTAGTATAACCAACAAGTTGTAATCTTTTGGGATTTGTCTCAGGTTAGTTTTCTGGTCAGAAATTCTCACAGCATCCAGTCAAAATCTTGTGAAGATGGCAGATGTACTGGTTATGTAGGCAGAAATGTGTTGTCTGAAGTATCTCATGGTTCTTAAAGAACAGAGTGGACATCCTAAAATGTGTCTGTCCAGTTTAACCCTCATTAGATTGCTCTGAGAACTCCCCCTATCAAGTCTGCAGAGTTAGCTGTGCCATGAACAGCATGAAACATATACTTAAGGTACTTGTAGTTGGCAGGGTTAAGTGGTGTAGATCACTTTTAATCCCATATAGACTTTCATAAACAGGCCTCATGCTACTTTTGATCTAGCACTTAAAACAACTGGGACCAAGCCCTGAGCAGAACAAGTTCTGGTCTCTTGGTTGAACTCAGACCTGGATCCATTTTTAAACTGATTTGACTTTTAACAGTTGGGGCAGCTCTGCTCAACAAGGAGAAATAAGAATAGAACTAAAGCACTGTAATTTCAATTCACAACAGCAGGTGGTAGTATGATGCTAGGACTGCTGCAGCATCTCATTTTCTTAAGACTAAAGTCTTTTTTATAAATATATATATATATAATTCTACTGAATGAGATTCCATTCATTGTAAACACATTGTTTTTCAATTTGTGCTAAGAAAATGTAAAGACTTGGGTCACTAAGGTTTTAGGTTGACTATGTGTAGTTATTCATGTCATGGACTACTGTAAAAATCATGCGCTGTGTGAAGCGACTGAATCGAAAACATTGAACTATTCCATTTTGGAAACTTCACAAAGTGTTCTGGTCACTGAAACATTTTTTTTTCAGGATAACAAAACATGGTTGCTCTTTGCCCACCTGTTACAGAAGAAAGTAAAAAAAAGACAGTTTCTTTTTAACTATATAGTATTTTAAAGAATGAAAAACAATGGTGCATATGTCTGAAGAAGAAAAAAAACCTTTTAAAAATATGGGTTTAAATGAATGATGCTTGTTTGGTTAAAATCTGAGTTGTATATCGCTTCTGTTATGTTTATTGAAAACAAATGAAAAAAAAGTTATTGTGCATGACGTGTTTAGCAGTCATAATGATGTCCATTTGTGAAATGTGTATCAATTCAAAAACACATAAAAAAGGTAAAAGAAAAAAAATTGTAGATGCACTTATTGTACATGTGTTTAGGTTAGTAGGTTTGACTTCAAGTTCTGTCTGCCTGGCAGATGTGTGGGCAGGTTCTGAAAGACAGAAAAGACTCATGGGACAAGACCTAATGAAAAACAATAAAGGATTGTAGAATATTGTTGAACAATTCTGAAATTGCAGTTCTTTTGATGCTTGTGATTATTGCAGATGTACTTTAGAGAAATTTCATTGAGAAAATATGACTCTGATGTTAATTCTGTAGAATAGCAATGTATACCAAATATAATCTTTCCAATGCTATGAAGAATTTATACATGAAATTGATATGCAATAAAACCTGTGTGCTTTTTAAATTTTGTGATGTATTTAATTCTTAGGGCCTCTTGGTGACCATTTATTAATGATTAACAGTTTAATAATGTTTGATAATCATTTAAAAACTGAATCTAAACATTTTATATAAGGTAAACAGATAATTAATTAAAGCATAAACTCATTGATGTAAGAGTAAAGGTAGGTACAAAATGACAGGGCAGACTAAATTAACATTAACATTACATTCAGGTCCACTGATGTTAAGTGTTAGGGCTAAACTAACATGCCAGGATACAATGATATATTTGCCTTTTCTAAATGGTTTAGATGCAGTTTATAAATGATTACCAAAAATTAATAAACTATTTGTTAATCACTAGTCCAATGAATTAACTCTTTACCAGTTATAAATTATTGTTATGGTAAAGTGTTACCATACATTGTGATGATTTTTTAAGATTTTAGTAATACATTTATTAGCATGTGCTGTAATATTTTATCTGAATGATGTCACAGTCAGAACAGTGGAACCCAGTATTCGAGACAGACAGGTTTCTCAAAAATGTTTATTTAGAAACGGATCTGCAGTGGGCATCCAAGGCAGGAACCTCTGCAGGGATGCGACAGGAGACGCCCAGAGGGTCCCAGATTCTGATGTCCCTGGGGTCGGAGGACAGGCAGATAAAGCAAGGCAGAATATTCCAAAGGGCGAAGCCAAAGCTGATGTCAAGGACTTCCTCAGGAGTCAGAGCCAGGAGATCAGGGGTCCAAAGAGGTACCAAAGAGAAATCCAGGACGGTGTCAAGAATCAGTTCCAGCAGTCCGAGCACAGCAGCAGTCCGAGGACAGGTCAGGCAAACAGATCAGAACCTGAACAGGCAGAATCAGAGGTCCAGAGGCCGAACTGGTCGGAATCAGGCATTCAGAAACACTTAGGTATGCTGGAAAACTCCCATCAAAGGCTTGAATAATCTGGCACTGATGACTGTGTCAGATTATTTTTAGTAGGATTTCTTTAGTAGGATTTAGTTTTGTTAAACTCAGGGTTACTCCTAATATCTTCTTCCTAACCCAGTAATCCTGCTTCGTGGTGCAGAAAGTTTGCCTTTTCAAACTGAAAAATCAAAAACAAAACACTGATAAAATAAACAAGTTCTGGTTCAGGGCAGGAACAACTGACTCTCTGAGTGGGCATGGTCTCCCGTTCCCGCCAATGTTACCAGGGCCCAACCTCTTTCCATCTAGATGGAAACTGCAATGCCTTCTCTATCCAGGGGGAAGAGCAGTGATTTATGATTTGCAACTTTTTTAAGAACTTAACTTCTGAATGAGAAATAGAATATATAATTTAATTAATTCTGTCAACAAAGGAGATCTGTGAGGATAAAAACTTTCATTGTAAACCTTATAAAAATGAGAACAGACAGTCAAACACATGTATTGGTATTTAAGCTATGTTCTGACAGAAATGTGCTGACCTTTTGTACCTGTTCCACAGAAGAAGGAGTCATAAAACAGCACACTGGAGTGTTTTTAAGGTAATAAAAGTGTTTGGCGTAACTGTGCTCCTTCTGGTGGAAAGTTGAGGCAGTTTAAATAAAGATGGTTTAGCTCTAGACTCAGAGTTGAGCATTTTTCTTAGTAAACAAAGCCAAAATCATGGTGCTGAGTAAAGCTACCCGATGCTTAAGAGGAGAGATAATACAGAAAACACTGCCTAGATGACAATATGAAACACCTCAAGAGACTTGGACTCATCCTACATGGAGCCTTAACCAGACACTCATAGTGTACAGCAAAATGTTTAAAGGCAAATAAGGTGAAAAAAGGCAAACAAAAAAGCCAGTGTAAGCTAACTATACTGCTAAATTATGGTCTAAAAACCTTATAATTTTCAATTAAGACCAAATCAAAAATCTATTAGGATTTTACAGTAAAAATATTGTATGCAGTTATGGAAATTATATTTAGTTATACATTTTGATCAACTCCTGTGGCATTTTAGGACAATAAGGAACAATTAATGTTTCTCTTAGACTTCTTAGACTTTCTTGGACAACTTGTATTGTCATGTTATGTCAATTCCATAAAGTGCAGCAATGATCAAATGTAAACTGTGTGGGAGAAAAGACATGGTGCAAAAACACATTGTTATGGTGGTTCAGAGCATTAAACTATTTATTGTACAAATATGCAAAATTTTGGTTTGGTGTTATCACTGTGATGCAGAGTCTGTGACTTGATTTAGAGTTTTCTCAACAGTAAGGCAAACTGATGGCAGGGGGGGAAGAAGCTGTTGCAGAATCTGCTGGGTGCATTGAATGCTGCTAAGCCTCTTCCCAGAGGGCAGCATGGAGAAAAGTCAATGGTGGGGGGTGTGAGGGGTCATTGATGATGTTAGGGGCTCGGGACATGCAGCGCTGGGATAACATTTCTTTAATCGAGGGGATGGGAGCCCCGATGATCATCTCGGCTGTTCTCCCCACTCTTCTCATTTCCTTCCAGTCTGATATACAGGATAATACAGGAGTTCCATTCTTGACCAACACAGCAGCTGTATAATAAGTTGCATGTCCATGACAATGTAAGTAGAACTCAAAGTGATATGCTCCTCGCACAGGTGCAATGAAAAAACCTGGGAAACATAATGTTTCTATTATGATTTTGTCTGTGCATTTGATCATATAAAGAAATATGAAATGGTATATGTTAGGATTTGCTGGGAGTATAAAAATGTTAAACAAAATGTTGGTGTACCTGTGTTTGGGTTGTAGGCATTGCCAATATTAACAACAACATTCCTGAAGACTAGAGGTGTCTTTGTGTTAAATGGTCCAATATATCCGGAATCTGAGGCCATCAGGGAAGCTGAGAAAGCCACTTGTTTCTCTGTAAGAAATGAAGTTAGTATAATCAGAATCAAAAAGTTATTCATTTTTATAAACAGTCTTACATTTAGAAATTTAAACAAAACAATGTCTTAAAAGACAACAAACCCAGTACCATCTAGTAGGTAGAAAAATATTTGTTCCAATAACTAAATGGATAAGTTGAAAAAGTAAAAAATTAGAAATTGAGCCGTAAATTAATTTTCAAGAAGTGAAATTGGGTTCAATCTTAAATAAAAATTATATTTGTCTTTCATTTTCCACTTTACTCTATAGAATCACACTAAAAAACACTAATAATTCAATCAGGTTTACCCTCGAAATTGACTGCATATAAGAAAGATTATTTACAAACATCTGAGCAAAACTGACTCATGTCAAATATGGTCATCATCTATTATGTAAAAGCATCACATAAGATTGTTCTTAAAATTAAACGATAAATACCTTGATACTGCTGCTCCAGCTTTTTTACTTTTGCTACTTGTTCTGAAAAACAACAATTGAGATCAATTTAAGCATTTTTTAATTTATTCTAATATGAAGTTTTATTAATAAAATCAGGTGTTTTTTCTAATAATTACCTTGGTAATGTTCTTTCAGCAACTCCATTTCTTTAGTCTTAGCTGTTTGCAAAAGTAAAAGGAAAACATTGAAATGTGAGGCCATTAAAAATATACAGTTGACTCAGAGAATTGATTGTTTAAATCTTTGGTTTTCTTAATTAACATACCTTCATTATCTCTCTGTAAGTACTCCACGCTAACCTTGAGTCCACCCAAAGAGGCGCTCATCTCTCTCAGCACAGCATTGACGTCCTGTGTACATCTTTGTTGGTGGTCAGACAGATTTCCTGTGTCTCTTTTCTTTTTAGTTTGCCTTGAATGTGGAAGGATTTCATCCTCCGAGTCTGACTGAAGCAAAGCTGTAGAAAAAGAGCAGATTAGAAGAAACGATTGTAAAATCATTATTGTCTCCATTCTCAGCATTGTTTTCTTCAAGTCCCGTACAATTTTGACTACTCTTTTTATCCAACCCTTAAATACTCTCAAAGGTACTTTTTATAGGCATTGAAGGAAAAAAAACATCATAATCTCCATTCTCACTGTGAGTCAGCCTGTGTTAAAGTTTTTCATTTACAGACACACATGGAGGTGTTAAGGCTTCACTTATTTGACCTGTTATATGACATCAAAACACAGTTATTGCATGTTCATAAAATACATTCTTACTGTGCTGCTGACATAGTTTCCTAGAATCTGTATCAAACTGATTTGGACATCACTGTAACAAATAACTTTTAAAGTTGACCTTTTATTTTAAGCGATTTGAGTTTTTTCTGGATACAAAAGTGTTCTCTTATGTGATTCTATAGCCCATTGCTCAACAGATTTAAACTGTGCTCAACAGTTTAAATCTGCTAAATTATATAAAGTTAGTTCAGAACAAATGCTTTCTCAAAGCCTAATACAAGATTAAGACAGGAAAAGTTGGAAGTATAGTTGACGAAATAACAAATCTGATCCTTGTTTGTTTTTTAAAAGTATAAGTCATAGTTTACATAATATGTATAAAATTTCATATAATATTCACATATATAGTTTATTGTTTTTTTTGCACAGCTTCCTTATTTTACAGATTAGCAGATTAACAAATTTAGTTGACATCCTCAAAAGTAAAATTACCTTGTAAAAGGGTATATGTCATGATTGGATCAATGGACTTAACCCACATGCAGAACACCAAACTGGAGACAGAGGAAAATTTTACAATGTTTATTTAGGACAACACACAGAGTTAAAGAGGACTGGTTCTGGTGCAGGTCCGGGACTGGTTTCACTGATATCCGAAGAGATGAGAGTTTGGTTAGCCAGGCAGTAAGATGGCTTGACGAAATAAGTTGAATTCTGATTATACCTTGAAGAGGTTCTGACAGATCCTTGAGAGGGGAAACCGGTTGGGTCCAGAGAATGTGGAAGTAGCAGAGAACTCAGCAGCAGCAGCGACTAGCTTCTGGCAAGAGAGTCTCAGACTTGGGTTTAGCTTCCTAGCTCTTCCCTGAGAGCTGAAGGAGGAATCCAGACTGAAATCTTCAGGTTTACCTTCCTAGCTCTTCCCTGAGAGCTGAAGGAGGAATCCAGACTGAGATCTTCAGGTTTAGCTTCCTAGCTCTTCCCTGAGAGCTGAAGGAGGAATCCAGACTGAGATCTTCAGGTTTAGCTTCCTAGCTCTTCCCTGAGAGCTGAAGGAGGAATCCAGACTGAGATCTTCAGGTTTAGCTTCCTAGCTCTTCCCTGAGAGCTGAAGGAGGAATCCAGACTGAGATCTTCAGGTTTAGCTTCCTAGCTCTTCCCTGAGAGCTGAAGGAGGAATCCAGACTGAGATCTTCAGGTTTAGCTTACTTGGGCAGGCAGGCAGGTTTCCAGGTAAAGCTCATCCAGAGCTTCAGACTTCAGTCAGGTTTTCTGTGAGTAAACGTGACAGAGGCAGGTTAGAATCCAGTTTCTCTCTAGAGTCTACTGTGATTCACTAGATTAACAGAGGCTTAGGTTTTGCTAACCAAACTTGGTCAACACTCCGGCGTCGAAGGAAGGTCTGACTGCTGCTTATGTAGGAAGGTCTCCTAATGGGTTGATGAGCTTCAGGTGTGCTGGAGGCTCCAGCCCAGGAGACCCACAGCGCTCTCTGCTGGAGACAGATGGTAGATCTCCAGATCCCAACAGTATGCCCAACACAAGCATTGCAGCACTGACTCTGCATGTCCACCAGGTGGCACTGTTTCAGGAGAAATGGAATGGACTTATGAGTGATTCTTTATAGGGTTTTCTCCAGTAAACATGGCAACTAATCTTCTGATCATTTGAATTATTATTTAATTTCAGAATCAACAAAAGCACCATTCAAAATAAATGAATATTCAGAATCAGTAGGCTGTTGATTTTTCATTAATTACATATAGAGAAACATGTCCATTATTCAAATGTGATGTAATGAGCAACGTGGGCCAATAGCCATTAAAATTAGCTACTAAATTTGCTCTTGCTGAAACCGATCTAGAATTCTTCTTAAAGTGTGTTTTTCTTTTGTTTATTGCATCATCATTTAAATGTATTTACTTTATTTCCTATAGATACCACAGTATTGCTTTTTTTAAGTGCTCAACTGTTAATTTAATTATTTTAGAGAAGGACCAAATTTATATGATGCTGTCACATGATGTAAAAATAATAATAACCTAGATGTTAATAGCAAAAGTGGTATGTGCCAAACAACACTTAGAAAATGTTTGTTTTTTTTCTTTGACAATCATTTCATTTCCAAGAGGCCTCACGGTTGCTTTCATTTTCTCCCTTACAACACTTGTATGTGTAATTTTAGAAGTGTGTGCATGTATTTATTTTTATGTTATTTTGTTGAGACTTGAGAAATGAACATGAAGAAAAGTCTTTTCATCCCTGTTTTTCTTGAAGAAGGAAGGAAGGATCAGATGTCAGAACGCAGGGGGAAGATTCTGAAACTCTGGCTTTGAAAAATTAGTGTGCCAAAATGAAAAGACCCCATGAGTTAGTTTTTCTTTTAATTATCTTTATTTATAGTTTCAAATCAAGTGTGGTTAGTTATAGATTCCTGTTTGGCATTGGAACATAGTGCCAGGTTTACCCTGGTTCTCTTTTTATTGTTTCACTTCAACAATTTTGCTGAATATGATGTTTTCTTGCCCTCTCTGTCCAGGATATAATTGTATAAACATAATTTTGAATGTCAGTTAAAGGGCATTACATTATCATTATTGAGTCTTGATTTCAGATTCCATTGTTGGCTCATGTTACGTAAATTTTAGCATCACTTGTAGTATAACCAACAAGTTGTAATCTTTTGGGATTTGTCTCAGGTTAGTTTTCTGGTCTGAAATTCTCACAGCATCCAGTCAAAATCTTGTGAAGATGGCAGATGTACTGGTTATGTAGGCAGAAATGTGTTGTCTGAAGTATCTCATGGTTCTTAAAGAACAGAGTGGACATCCTAAAATGTGTCTGTCCAGTTTAACCCTCATTAGATTGCTCTGAGAACTCCCCCTATCAAGTCTGCAGAGTTAGCTGTGCCATGAACAGCATGAAACATATACTTAAGGTACTTGTAGTCGGCAGGGTTAAGTGGTGTAGATCACTTTTAATCCCATATAGACTTTCATAAACAGGCCTCATGCTACTTTTGATCTAGCACTTAAAACAACTGGGACCAAGCCCTGAGCAGAACAAGTTCTGGTCCCTTGGTTGAAACTCAGACCTGGATCCATTTTTAAACTGATTTGACTTTTAACAGTTGGGGCAGCTCTGCTCAACAAGGAGAAATAAGAATAGAACTAAAGCACTGTAATTTCAATTCACAACAGCAGGTGGTAGTATGATGCTAGGACTGCTGCAGCATCTCATTTTCTTAAGACTAAAGTCTTTTTTATAAATATATATATATATATAATTCTACTGAATGAGATTCCATTCATTGTAAACACATTGTTTTTCAATTTGTGCTAAGAAAATGTAAAGACTTGGGTCACTAAGGTTTTAGGTTGACTATGTGTAGTTATTCATGTCATGGACTACTGTAAAAATCATGCGCTGTGTGAAGCGACTGAATCGAAAACATTGAACTATTCCATTTTGGAAACTTCACAAAGTGTTCTGGTCACTGAAACATTTTTTTCAGCATAACAAAACATGGTTGCTCTTTGCCCACCTGTTACAGAAGAAAGTAAAAAAAAGACAGTTTCTTTTTAACTGTATAGTATTTTAAAGAATGAAAAACAATGGTGCATATGTCTGAAGAAGAAAAAAAAACCTTTTAAAAATATGGGTTTAAATGAATGATGCTTGTTTTGTTAAAATCTGAGTTGTATATCGCTTCTGTTATGTTTATTGAAAACAAATGAAAAAAAAGTTATTGTGCATGACGTGTTTAGCAGTCATAATGATGTCCATTTGTGAAATGTGTATCAATTCAAAAACACATAAAAAAGGTAAAAGAAAAAAAATTGTAGATGCACTTATTGTACATGTGTTTAGGTTAGTAGGTTTGACTTCAAGTTCTGTCTGCCTGGCAGATGTGTGGGCAGGTTCTGAAAGACAGAAAAGACTCATGGGACAAGACCTAATGAAAAACAATAAAGGATTGTAGAATAATGTTGAACAATTCTGAAATTGCAGTTCTTTTGATGCTTGTGATTATTGCAGATGTACTTTAGAGCAAGGGCGTAGGTTTGATTTAAACTTTGGTGGGGACACTATTGGTCAGGTGTCATTGGTGCTATGCAATATGCGTGCCCTTTTTTATGCTCGATGTGAGCATCTGTACTGATAAGAGGAATTCATGTTAAAAGAGAAAAGCAACATTTTGCTCTATTAATAAAAATGTTATAAGCTCTACACTCATTAGATGCTGTTTATCAATGTTTGAAGTATCACCAGCTCTGATGAATGTGGAATTAGGACTG